AATACTATGTCCAATTGTTCCGAGCCTGACATATTCGTTATGTTCAGATATGTTCTGAAACTCCATTTCACAGAATATGAATCTACAAACCCCTGATTAACCTGTCCCTACCAGTTGGTGGAAGCAATCCATCTAATAGTTGTTTGCTAAATGCCTTCAAACTACAAAAAAGAGGAGAAAGAAGATGGAAAATGAGCCATCGATCAAAAATTATACTGTACATGCATTGAAAACAACATTATAAAGATATGGCATTGATCAATGGTTTAGTTTTTGTCTTCTTCCTCTTCTCCTTATTTAATACTAGTAGGTGAACAATCTTCAGGTGTAATACTGCCAACAACCAGTAAAAGTAACAGCTTTATTAGGGGTTTTAGATTTATATTAATAAATTTGGTAATCATAAACTTAAGAAGTTATAACTTCTGTCTACGTCTAATGGTGACTGGGAAACTTGTATTCTCAGATAAAATGTCTGAGTCATATCTGTTTTTCAGCTGACAACAAGTAAGGAATACAAGTCCTAAATGTATTCATGTTTATTGACTTGCATTTACAGTTATATTACTACATAGCATGTGATCTTTGTGGATTTATTCATAAGATGTGAAATAAAAAATTGAGAAATGTGAAAGAAAAGAAGATTTTTGATGAGGGTTTTGAACTTGTGTAGTTTCTGTTGCGGAACCATGACCTTAAAATGTAACTCCACATAAAAGCATAATCCCCCATTTTACATATTTTGTTTTAACTTATTTTAGAGAAAATTATGTTAACCCAGCAACTATCGTAATATTATTTCAAAGAAAATTTTTTTTTTTTTATTTTGGAAATTTTTTCTTAGAAAAAATATCAGAGGATTTCTGACAGCACAAATTACTTTAAATAATTTTCTTTAACTTTTGCTGCAGGTGTCATTTTTCTCCTTGTAGTACAATAAATAATTCCTAAGAGACTCCTCTCAGCAGCAATCTTCACACTTTAACAGAGAGTGAGATGGTGTGTTTTTTATGTCTTATAAGTAATAACATAAATGCATTTTATATAAACAGGGACACTGCTGAAGTTACATTTACAGTACATGTAGCCTGCTCAAAATAGCATGTGAGAAAAATAACATCAAAATAAAGATATTGCTATGGGAAACCTATTATGTATGCAATCTGATATCAACAATGGAAGCAATAGATAATGCACATATTTTTAAGGAGCCTTATAACAGTTAATAACAGTAATGCTTTGTACATCTGAATTATTTACATTGATTTACATTTAAAAGTATAAATATCAATAATTCTGCTTCTAACTTTATTTAACTTGAAGCCATAAATGAGTGGATTCATTAGGGGAGGAATGATAAGAAATTCCATTGCAATAAAATTTTGCAGAGTCTGTGGTAAATCTTTGGAGCTAAGTCGATTATAAGTAACATCAATCATTATAGTCACAATAAATGTAGACAGAGAGATTAAATGTGGAACACAGGTTTGCACAAACTTTGCCCTGTTTTCTATAGAATTGGCACATCTTTTGATGATATACATGTAAGACCATACAATGAAGAAACCATGAAATACATAAATTACTATTGTAATATTTGCAACAATTTCATTAATAGACGTTTCATTAAGTTGACAGGCCAGTGACACAATGCTCCAGTTTACACAGAACAGTCTGTTTATATATCGACTGCATAGCTTCAATCTCGATGTAAGAAAAATGTTAACTGCAATGATAAAAGATGATGTTAACCAAAAAGAACATGCCATCTTAATGACCCTTTGTACTGACATGACAGAGTGGTATTCCAAAGGACGACATATAGCCAAATACCGATCATATGCCATTAGGGCAAGAATTGACATATCACTGCAGCCAAAGGAGTACAACATATGAGCCTGCAAAAGACATCCTGAATAAGAGATAACATGAACAGGAGAGAGCAGATCCCAAAGAAGTTTCGGATAGAAACCTGCTGTTCCATAAAGTGCATTAATGCAAAAGGCACATAGTAGAATATACATTGGTTCATGAAATGCATTATCAAATATGATTATCAGAATAAGAGAAACATTTACCAAGACAGTTATGCAGTAACATGTGAAACTGAGAAAAAAAAGAGCTGATCTGCATTTTGGACTTGTGTCATTTAAACCTGATAGAGAAAGTATGGTAATTGATGAAATATTCATTTTTACTTCTTAAGAAATGCAACAGTAATCTCAAAATTGACCAGCTTGTTCCAGGTTCCAGGTTAATAGTCTTACTAATATGAATATTTAAATAAGGTCATCAACATCACCTGAGCAGGGATTTTCATACAGCCAATCACAGTTCATAAAAAAAAAAAACAGTAATAAGTTTCCTGTGTGTGGGAAGGGGGGAGTTGCATAACTGCAGTTATGTAAGTAAAAACAAGAAAGGCACACTAAAAAAAGATTTTATTACATGCTTAACTGACTGTAACACTAAAGGTATTCTAAATAAATGGCAGCTCTAAAACAATGGAAACAAGAACTAATGAAAAGGATCATTTATCTAAGTCTAAGTTTTATCTCTAACTTCTTTTTTTGACAACTTTCACAACTTTATTTCAGGTTTCATGCAGCACTTTTGTCTCCAACCACTAGATGGTGCAGCATAAGATTATAATCAGAGATGGCAAAAGTAC